CCCCTCCCTTTTAATTGGAAATAAAATTGGAGGCATCTAAAGCTCCAGGAATGCATTTCTAAGTCATTCTCTCTTCAGTTTTCCATCTTTCTTTCTTTCCTTCCTTCCTTTCTTTCCTTCCTTCTTTTGGTAAACTAGAAAATAATTATTTTAAAATAAAGGAAACAAAACTAAGAAGGTGATTTATTTAAAAGAACTACCATTTTAAAACAAATAGCTTACAAATTTATGGGTAACATTAGATTTAACTTTTGTCTCCTTCCTCCCCTCCTCTTCACTCGTGTGTCAGGGGAGAAACAATTCCTTCAAGGCATGGATGCAAATATAAAAATATTAAAAAAAAGAATACACAACTAAATAAAGCTTATTTTAAAGTATGCCTTTGCTGTTTGCTCAAATGGGGGAGCCAAGAAGGACCCACCGGCTAAAGGCAGGGAGGAAATGGATCTTCGTGTTTGTGGGGGGACCCGGGGTGAGGGGGGGGCCAGGGACGCCACTCTGGCCTTCGGTGGGAGCAGAGGGGAGTTTGGGGAGAGTTGCCTACCTGCCCCTGCAGGGGAGTGCAGAGTGCTCAGATGGGGTGGGGGTCTCGCTCAAGAGGGGCTTCTGCACAGAAGCAGCAATCTCAACCACAGCGGCTGGGACCCCCAACCCCATCTGCCTCCTGGGCTTCTCAGAGGGCAGATTCTGTGCAGATCCGACAGTCCTGGAAATCCCCCCCCCCCCACAATTGAGGCTCTGTCAGTGTTCCATGATGCCTATTTTTCCTCTTCGCCAGCCCCATTTCCAGAGGGTCTTTTTAGCGTGAAAAGTTGAAGATGGTTGAACTTCAACTTGGAGGTTCTAGTCCCCAAGATTGTTGAATGCAAGTTGTGTTTTTATTATTTTATTTTGCTCACATATTGTTTATTTTGAATTGCACCCCCTCCCTAATGATTGTAAGCCGCCCTGAGTCCCCTCAGGGAAAAGGGCGGCCTATAAATCCTAATAAAATACTATTAAAAAAAATGCTTTTTCAAAAGGCAACCGGTCCGTTTTTCGCTGAAGACGTTTTGCTTCTCATCCAAGAAGCTTCTTCAGTTTGGTTCAGTTCTTTAGACCTGAAGAGGCTTCTTGAATGGGTAGCAAAACGCCTTCAAGAAAAAAACTGAAGTTCAGTTTCCTTTTGAAAAAAACACCTTTGGGATCTGCATAGACATGGGGAGAATCTCGTGGCGACCTCTAGTGGTTCGAAGAAGTATTGGGCCAAAGAGCAGACCGGAAAAACTGCAAGGAAAGGTTGAGGGTTTGGGGCCCCTCCCTCCCCCCCCCCTCCCTCCCTCCCTCCCCCCCCCTCAGCCCGGTCCTCCTCCTCGCAGAGAGTTGCTGTCAAGGGGAAGATAGGCATTGTGTACTCCACCTTTAGTGCTGGGCAACAAAGGGTGAAAATAATAATGTATTGTTTCTATTCCTAGCTCAGAAATTCTGAGAAGCCAGAGGGGAAAAATATATAAGAAGCACCTTAAGTCGCTGGGCATTTTTTCTTTCAATAGAAATATTTTTTGCAGGGGAGGAAAATAGAAGATTTGGCACGATGTTAGGGGAAGCTGGGCTGAAGCCCCATCGCCTGAGGGTGGGGGGGGGCACCCAAATGAGGCCGGTCCCTCCAGCAGAGGCTGCCTGAGCTGCTTCCCTTTTAGGCTGCCCCAAAAACTGCCTGCTGGAAGCTAGAAATGATGGGGTGTCTGTGTGGGGGGAGCAGATGGCTCCAGTTGGGGATATGGCGGCTCCCGTTTGCCGGCTTAATAGCTGTGCCGGAGCCCCATGCCAGCCTGTAGCCAAGGGATCCCCGGCCGATGGGAGTTTCTGCAAGCGAGGAACCGGGAGCAGACTGCCTGCCTCGGGCAGGGATCCACGCGGCTTGTGAGAAAGGCCGGCCGCAGCCCTTTCCTCCCCAGACCGATGGAAGGCCAGCCCAGAGCTTCACCCTGGGGTGCCCCTGCCCTCCCCAGCCTTCGAGGAGCCTGGAGGTTCCTGGTTGTGGTCAGCCACGTGCAGGGGCCTCTGTCATTATCGACACACCTCCCTCTGGTTTAGTTTTGCTTTTGAAAGTTTTTTAAATTAATTGGCGGTTTTAGGTAGTGATTGTTCTACACTCCTCCCTTTATGGATACAGGTTGCCTTCCAGATATGACCATCACGGATGTAACTTGTGGCAGTCGGAAAGGAAATGCCACAGCTAAGCAAGGGCGTGAGATGGCACTGTGGATTGGTCTTACTGAAACCGGAAGGAAGATGCCAGTGGGGTCACTTAACCGCAGGACAGTGCAAATAGCTGTAATTGTGGTCCAGCTGCCCAGCACACAACGCTACAAGACCGCATGGGGGCGGGAGGGGGAGGTGACGGTGGAAAGTTCAAATCCGAGTCAGACATCCCCCCCCCCCAGGCAGTTCTGTTGGGAGTTCAGTAAGAGGTCATAAGTGCTATGGCGATGTCTGTGGAATTGGCAGCCATACAAACATGCTGAGTAAGGGAAGGCGTAAATAAATGCCCCAGAAGGCAGCTGAAGCCAGTGCTGCCTCTGAGCTCAGGACCTAGAATCGGGGTCTCCGGTAACTTCCTCAAAAGAAAGTGGAGTGGGGGGGGGTCATACTAGATGAACTTTGTACTGCAAGCTCTCAGTTTTCAGGGCCACAGACCCTGTGGAGAGGCAGCCCTTGGCCAACGGTTGATGGGAAAAGGAGCCAAAGGAGCGTGGGAAAAGATGAAGGCAGAAAAAGAGGAGAAGGTGGCCAGCCCGGCTGAAGCTGAATAAAAGCGTAAGGAGGAGATCTCCGCCTCAAAAGGAGGTGTAGAAGAAGAGGCGAAGCTAGGAAAGCACAAAGGGGCTGAGGGAGGGCGCCCTCCGTCCCACTGATTTTCTTCCAGGCCCCCAAAGAGGAGGGGGAGAACGGGGGACGAGAGAACCAAATCCAAATCCGAAAGAGGAAACGGGAAAGAAAACGGCTCTTTTGTTTGGGTTTTCTACAGTGTGTGTTGTGTGTGTGTGTGTTGTGTGCGTGCCTGGGCTTGCGTTTCAGTTCAATTGGGAGAGGCCCAGCTGAGCGTCCGGAGGAAGAAAGCAGCTGAAGGGCCCTGGGGCTCCCGTGGCCCCCGGAGGGCTTCAGCCACAGCCTGCCATGCCGCACAGCCACTGCCCCTTCCCATCGGCAGGTAGGTGGGACTTCGTGGGAGACTCCAGGACTCTGAGCTTAACAGAGGGTCTTTGAGAAAAGAAACGGCAGGAAAATCAGGAGGTTTCTTTGCGACCCTCGTTCCCTCCATGGCGGCGAATGAAGGCCGCCTCCAGGCGACCCCCGAAATCCAGCAACTTCCACACCCTCAGCAGCGCTTGCGTGCGTGTGCGTGTGGGATGTTTCAAGGACTTGAAGGCCCCGGCAGAAGCCCCCCGGCGGCCTTGGGGGCCGAGGAGCCACCCCGGGGTCCCTGCTTCGCCCAAGTGGGGAGGGGTCTCTGGCTTCAGAAATAACGGAGGGGATTCGGAGCGAGGCTTTCGGGCGCAACTGCCGCAGGGATCTCCGCACATGCCAGGAGCAGCGGTAGGAAGGCAGCCGCTGCACGGAGCCCTCCGGCCCCCAAAGCCTCCAAGGCCCCGGGCGGGCTTGGCCTGAGGAGTCGGGACCGGCGGCCCGAAAAGCGACCCCCCCTCCGCCCAGCTTCGGTCCTTCGGGCAGCCGCGCCTTCCGAACCTCGGCACGGGGCGGCCACGGCGAGGGGCTTTGGCGGGGCGGAGGTCCGCGCCTCGCCTGCCTTGGGGCGGCCAAGAGGGGCGTCTGCCGGGCCATCGCCCGCTCTTCCACAGCCGGCCGGCCTCGGGGGAAGCGGCGCCTTTGGGGCCTCGGGAGCTGACCGGGGAGCTGGGGCGGGAAAGGCGCCCCCCGAGGGGGAGGGGGGGCGGGGGCTGAGCGAGGGGCCCCTCCCGCCGCCCTCTTCTCCCGCAGGGCCGGGACGGAGCCTCCGCCGCCTCTTCCCCAGCTAGCGCTCGCAGGTAGAGCCCTCCTGTCCGGGGAGGCTCGCTCCCTCCTGCCTGCCGGGAAGCCTCGGGCGGGGCGGGGCCTGGAGGAGCGGCCCAGCGGGCGCGGGGAGGGCCGGGGGCGGCGGCGCAGCCTCAGCCGGAGTCGGGGGTCAGGCGGCGGCGGCAGCGGCGGGAGAGGCGAAGCCATGCGCCGCCGGAGGAGAGCGCAGCGCGGAGGTGAGCCAGCCGGCGGCCCGGCCTCCCCTCGGCCCGACCCCACCACGCAGCTGGCCAGGCAGGTGAGGCGCCTCTCCCGCCTCGGCCAGGCAGACGCCGCGCGGGGAACGCGGGACCTCGGCCGTCCCGGGCCCTTCTCAGGGGAGGCGGCCAGGGGCCCCTGGGTCCGGCGGGCGGGGGAGGCTCGAGCCCTCGGGGTGGATATGGCCTCGCCCCGCTCCCTCCAGGCAGGCTCTGGCCGCCGTCCGGGGCGTCCCGCACGATCTCTCCCCCCCCCCCACCCGGGAGGTCTGGGCGGGGAGGGGGCGCCTGCGGGGCCCGATTCCTCCTCTCCCCCCCCCGGGCCAGTTTGGGGGAGTCGCTTTGCCCCCGCGGAGGGGCTTCCCTCTTTCCCCCTCCTCAGCCGCTGCTTCCTCCGGGCGGGGTCGGCGGAGGGCCGGCGGGGGTCGTGGGGCGAGCGGGCCCCGAGCGGCCTGGGGAAGCCCCTGCGGATCGCCCCCGGGAAGGCCTGCCGGAGCTGCCCGGGCGGCGCTTGGCTTTGAAGGGCGGAGGGCGCCTGGAGCGGACCAACCGGTTTGCCTCTCCCGCTCGCCAGGTTAGACTTTAACCCGAGTGCAGCGGCGGCGGCGGCGGCGGCTCCTCCAGGCTCTCCTTCCGCCAGGAAGCCAGGGAAGCGTGACGTTGTGGCAGCTGCTGTAGCTCGAACGGGAAGGAAGCCCGAAGAGAAGAAAAGGGGAAGTCGGGGAGCCTCCCAGGGCCGCCTCCTCCGCCACCCCGGGGATCCCTCCCCGCCAGCCGCGTTTCGCCTGGGATGAGCTCCGTGGGCGGCCTGGGCAGGGAAGGTGGGTGCCGGATCGTCAGCCGCTCCCTTCCACACACACACACCCCCCCCGCCGAGGGAAGCTGAGCTCCGCTGGGCGTTTAGAAGCAGAAGAGGTGGGGAGCCTGGCCTGTCCAGGGAGGCCTCCCACCACAGAGGAGCCTAAAATGTATGTTGTTAAGCGAGACATTTTAAAGTGAGCTTTTTCACCTCCTATCTTGCCACCGTTGTTAAGTGAATCATTGCAGTTGTTAGTCACACGGTTGTTAAGTAAATCTGGCTCCCCCGTTGCCTTGTCAGAAGGTCGAACAAGCGGATCACAAGCGGATCACATGGCCCAGAGACACAATGACTGTCATAGTTTGATCAGGCGACCACGGTGGCCGTAAGTGTGAAAAATAGTCCCAATTAATTTTTCCCATTGCTGTTTTAACGGTCGCTGAACCTGTCCTCCAACTGCAAAAGGTAGCTGACTCGAGCAAGTAAGCCTTGCTGCGCGTTGGGTGCAGGGAAGCCTTTCTCCCTGGGCCCCGAAGGGGAATAACTCGGACTTTGAGCAAAAAAGAGTCAGCTGACCTGGCAGTTCCGGTTTAAGTGGCCATCTAAGAAACAACCTGTTGAAGCTCCCTCTGTTGAATGGATGGCAGGCGGTTTGCTACAAGTGCCTTAAACTCAAAGCATGAAGCCTTGGGGCGTTTTAGGAGTCACCTGCATGGATTTCGCCCTTGACATCCTGTGGTTTAGGGAATAAACCCCGATGGTTAAGTACATGTAAACCAGAAGAAAGTGATGTTTTTCTGGCTTTCTACCTTGGGGCCTCCACATTTGTAGATTAGTGGATTTGACAATTTTGCCGGGTGTTAAATTCTAATTATCTACAATTACGTATTTTAAGCAATATGCACGGTGGCCTCAATTATCTCGCATGGCTGATCTCTCTGCAGCACTCTGGCTTTCCTCCCCTTCTTTTAATATCTCTCCTTTCCCCTTCCCCAATAAGTGAGAATGAATTCCAACAACCCTGGATAATTCTACCCCCTTTCTCATTTTAATTTCTGGGCAGCAGCAGGGAGAGTTAATGAGCGCTGTGTGGCAGCTTTGATAGGGATGCAGTGTTTACAAAATAATAATTATGATAATGACGGGGTATTACGGTATTGTCAGGATAAGGTGAGCTTGCCCAGAAAACCCAGGTGATGAGAGGCTGCCGTTCAGTGACTGGTGGCCTTTTGGAAAAGTGGAGGCAGGCAGACTCCTTACTTACAGGCTGGGACTGCAAAGCCCAGGATTGTGAAAGCTCTGTTTGTGTGTTCCCGTAAACACTGAGGAATTGTAGGACTTGTGGTTACAAGGCAGGCTCTGGATTTCAAGCAGAGAAGAAGCGCAGAGGAGACGGGGAGGTTTAATGGCTCCTGCCTGGTTCAGATTGCACTCCATCAAAATCAGCGTAAGGCATCCTATTGATTTCACTAGATGGACTCAAAATAGGTGAACGATTGATTGATTACGTGCTATCGAGTCCTTTTTGTGCTTCTACTGGCCTCCTGGATGGATTTTCTCCAGGAGAGCCTGCAGCCTGGTCTTTGCAAGCTTTAAAAACAAAACAAGGGAACCACAGAGAAATGGAAAGGGCTGATATTGTCTATCCACGCTAGACTTTCTCTTCAAAATGATAAAGCCAAGGAAAATAATTTGATATTGATTTTCCTACCCTTTTCTGTTTTCCTGTTTTATTTTTTTCCTTCTGTGACTATCTTTTTTTTAAACTCTTTTTTATAACGAGCGGGCGTTGAAAAAGTTCCCCTTCGGCCCAGGGACAGCAGCGTTTGGGCAAACAGCTTTGGAATACATAATTGTGGCTTATCTTGCAGACCGAGATAATATCTGTGTCCACACATTCTTTGCCCCCTGGAACAACCTTGGCAGGGAACAGTTTATGCTCACGGAAGGCAGTTCCTCCTTCTGCGTCAGAACGAAACGTTAGCAAGGGAAGCCGGACACATCTGAAGGGGCCGGGAGAACGTTTCAGCTCATGTTCTGGGAAAATAATTTTCTCTCCAGCAAAGAGACCTGGGGAATTTCTCCTCCAAGTAACTGTGAGCCGATTTCATGGTAGGCCTTGCACAGTCCAAGATCCGAAAGGGAAAAGGCGATTCAGAGTCCATGGGAAGGTTTGGCCTGCAGGAGCTGTCGTTGCTGCCTTCAATTTCCCAGGCTTTGTTCCCCAAATGGCCTCAGCCTGAGCATCCATTGTGCTCTTAAGCCTTCCCGGACAGATCCTGCTTCCATCGCTCTGGAGCCTCGGAGAGCCTGGGCTGCAAACAGGCTGGAGACGGATGGGGAGAGAAGAGGGACCAGGAAAAACAGGATTTCCCCACAGCTCATCCTTTTTTCATTCATTGCACATAATTCCCATCAGAGGGAATTGGGCAGTAGGTTAGTTAGCTAGCTAGCTAAGTATTAGTCAGGTAAACAGTTTGTCAGACTGAGGTTCCTTTGTTGCAACATCTCGGAGAAAGTCTGTTTGGATACAACTTGGCAAAGATTTCTCATTTCCTCTTTTGTCCATTCCTCATTGTGGTCTGGCTGGTTCTCGGCTTCGGCAGGGGCCTGATCAGGATGTCCTGCCCCATCGGACCTTTCTGGGCAAGATGGGCGCACGGTTGCTCTCGTGTCCCTTGTGGGCATCTTGGCCACTGGGCCATTCCTGAGCACAGGGCGACTTTTGCAGAAGCCCCTTTTCGGTCCGGTTTGTAAGACAAGAACTTTAACAACGTGGAGCAGGGGGCTTTTGCCCGCCCACAAATGGTGTCGGTGAAGTTCAGCTGGTGCTAAACGGCAAATCTGGTGTTGAGTTTAAAGGATTTTAGTTCTCAAGTACGGGGATTGCATCGGGCCCTTCTTCGCAGGTACACACCCTTGGGCGGAACAAGTAAATGCCAACAGTCCCTCCACAGACGGAGCACCAAGGCTGAGTGTGCAAATACCTGCTCCACCATTGCAGTTCTCCAGGGAAGAGAGGCCGCTCTTGTCGAATTATGTTTGCGTCCTTTCTCTGAAGTGATCATCTCAATTTTAAATCTGCTAGGTGTTCAAATTATATTAAACTATTTTGAGGGGGAGGGTCAGTTTCCCTGCATTTTCTGCCTCAAAATGCTGAAAACCTGCAACTGATGTTTACAGGGACTTTAGGAGAGGGGGGGGGTGGTGGTCAGTCAGGCCAGATTGGCAAGTGGGGGCCATACACGGATGTGCAGTTTCACATCCTCTCTTCCAACCCTTCTCTGCTCACCTTTCCCCCCCCCCTCCTCCTTTTTCCTTTCTGCCGCTGATTCTGCGTTTGGAAGGCTTTCTTCGTTTCCTTCCCCCCACGCCCTCATTTTCCTTCCACACGCTAATTGTATAATTGACGGGAATCCAAAGTCTTCAATGCGGCTTCGGGCACTTTGCAAGCAGAGAGGCAACGTTTTGTTTTATTCCTGGGCGAAGGAAACGCGATCCGAGAGCGGCAGAGAAAGGACACCCTTTCTTTTCGGTCCCCTTCATTAAA